AGTGATATGAGGGGAGTGAGGGTTTGAGGGTGGAGTGGAGGGGTGAGGGGTGAGGTGAGGGGTGAGTGGAGGTGAGGGGTGAGGGTGAATGAGGGGTTGGGGAGTGATAGAGGTGGTGAGTGAGGTGAGGGTGTGAATGGAGGGGTTGAGGGGTGATAGAGGGTGAGTGAGGGGTGAGGGGTGAATGAGGGGTATGAGGTGATAGAGGTGAGTGTGAGGGGTGAAGGGTGAGTGAAGGAGTGAGGGGTGAGTGAGTGGTGAGGGGTGAGTGGAGGGTGGAGGGCGTGAATGAGGTGAGGAGTTGATAGAGGTTGAGTGAGGTGTGAGGTGAGTGAAGGGGTGAGGGGTGAGTGAGGGCGCAGGTGAAGGGTGAGTGAGGGGTGAGGGGTGAGTGAAGGGGTGAGGGGTGAAGGGGCCTGCTTGCCTTTCCCTGCTTCCTGTGTGCGAGTGTCTTCTCTCACCCCCTCACCTCCTCACTCACCCCCTCACCTCCTCACCCACCCCCTCACCTCCTCACTCACCTCCTCACTCACTCACCCCTTCACCGTCTCACTCATCCCCTCGTCTCCTCACCCCCTCACTCCCAGCCTGCCCCTCCCATCTTCCTTTTCTTTGTGTGAGAATCTGGGGCCCTTGAGTGGTGTCAGTCCCTCCAAGACTCAAGGAGTCCCCAGGGCCTTGTTATCCAGAGCACCCCGACCTGGGTCCCAGGAGACCCCATGGGATCACAGGAGTGTTCAGGTATATGGTGCTTCCTGGGTCTGGGTGGGCTGAAGGGGCGTCCTCCCTTCTCCAAGCAAGAGGAGACCCCCAGGAGCCCCCTGAGTCGGCCCCCAGCAGTGGTGCCGGTGCCATCTGCCCTGTCCTTGCAGCCTGGGAGATCCTCCGGAGGGGAGGGCGCTGGGTGACTGGGCGGCTTCTGCTGATCTCACCCCACTGGCCTCCTGTTTGTCTTCCTCAGCTTGTGGGGTCCGCTCAAACTTAAGCCGCCAGAGCAGGATCGTGGGCGGCCAGAACGCGCTCCCGGGGGCCTGGCCCTGGCAAGTCAGCCTGCATGTCCAGAACATCCATGTGTGCGGAGGCTCCATCATCACCCCCGAGTGGATCGTGACAGCTGCCCACTGCGTGGAAAAGTATGCCAGGGGCGGCGCGGGCTGGGTGGGGTCTCTGGGCTGGCCTCTAGTCACCCTGTGACCTTGAGCAGGGTCTCAACCCTTGCAGCCTGGGCGTCCTTGTGTTTAAATGGGGAGAGTGTTGCGCCTGCTTCCTAGGCTTGTGGGGCACCAGGTGCACTCATGCCGGGCAGTGCATGGCTGTGTCGTCCTTCAGCACGTATGCACTGGTGTCCCCTGCACGAGGGACACAGGGTGCAGGTGGAACATTCTCCACGATGTCACCATGACCAGTGTTCCTTCCAGCCGCTGTCCTCTGAGCTCTGTCCTGCCCTTGAGCGAAGCCCCCGCCCCCTGAGGTCTCCTCTCTCCGGGACACTAGTCCCAGGAGAGGACACACTCAGACAGGCTCAGGGGCCTCAGGCTGCCCTGCTGGAAGGTCCCTGGGGTTAAGTGTTCTTGGCCACAGCATTGCTCATGCAAAGGGTTAGGTAGGGGTGAGGCTAGCTGTGACAGTGTTAGCATTTATGGAAGCTACCAACCCCTCCCCTTTTTCTTAAACACATAGTGCTTTTGGTCACATGCTGCTTTGGAGGAGGCTTTACTCGGCGGATGTATTTTTCTGCCTTAGAGAGAGGCTGAACTGGGTTTGACTCTTGGCCCAGCCCTTTTTGGCTGCGTGGCCTTAGATGATTCACTCAACGTCTCTGACCCATGGTGCATGCAGCTATAAGATGGGCATGCCCTTCTCCTCTCGGGCTGTTATGAAGGTCAAGGAAGTAAGGGCTGTTACCCAAGGGTGCGCCCTTCTCTGCCCATCTTCACACCCCCGCGTGCTCTGGGCCCTCTAGGAGCTGGGTTTCTCTCAAGGGCTGTTACCCAAGGGTGCGCCCTTCTCTGCCCATCTTCACACCCCCGCGTGCTCTGGGCCCTCTAGGAGCTGGGTTTCTCTCAAGGGCTGTTACCCAAGGGTGTGCGCTTCTCTCCCCCTCTTCATACTCCCGAATGCTCTGGGTCCACTAGGAGCTGGGATTATCTTCAGAGGGAAACACCTGGATAAAGGAAATGGTTTGATTGATATTGGACTTCAAGTCTGTTCATCAGTACCCATTTATTAAGCACGTACTATGTGCCAGGAAATACTTTGGCATACAAAGGAAAATAAGGGCCAGTCCTGCTAGAAATGGCCTTGAAACCCCAGGGAGGGATGTCGGCCCCGTGGTGGGTGCTGCAGATTCCTTGAAGGTGGCACAAGAGCCAGAAAGAGGGATGATGTCGGGGGCTGAGGCGGGGAGTCGGAGTGGAGGGAGTGTGGGGGAGAAGGGGAGGCCAAGCCCCTCCTCCACTGTTTCCCGGTGAGGTTTTTGGTGAATCATCCCACTCTGGGTGTCTTGCCTCCAGCTTCTGATGTTGGAAGTTCATCCACCAAGAGCTCCGTGTTTGTGGCTCTGAGATACTGAGTCCTTCTTCTCTCCCAGACCTCTTAACAGTCCGTGGCAATGGACGGCATTTGCGGGGATTTTGACACAATCTTCCATGTTCTATGTAAAAGGACACCGAGTAGAAAAAGTGATTTCTCATCCAAATTATGACTCCAAGACCAAGAACAATGACATTGCGCTGATGAAGCTGCATACGCCTCTGACTTTCAACGGTACACGTGGCTCAGGCTTGGCATGCAAGTTGGCAGAATCTTAAGGAGATATTGATTGGAAATGACACTTGTGCTGTGCCAAATGGAAGGGAGGCATTTGCGTTGAGTGAGGGTGGTGTGCAGTGGGTGGCCAGTGGGAGAGGCTCACAGAGGCTAAGAGCACCTGCCGCATTTTGGGGGAGGCAGCAGCCACCACATCTGTTCTGTACTGTACTGAGTGGTGATGATTCAAGCCAGGGGTGGAAAAGGCTAGAACAGGGCTTTCCCACTGCAGCACTCTTGACATCTGAGGTGGTTCTCTGTTCTGGGGCTCTCTTGTGCCTTGTAGGATGTTTAGCAGCGTCCCCAGCCTCTACCCACTGGAGGCCAGTAGCTCCCAAGTTGTGACAACCAGTGTTGTCTGCTGACATTGCCAAACATCCCCTTTGAGGCAAAGTCACTTCTAGTTGAGAACTACTATTGAGATGTGTAAAGATCCTTGATTTTTAAAGATACATTCTAAAACCAAGTTGCTTAATTCAGGACAAACATGCTTTCTCTTAGCCTCTTATTCGGTCCCACTCTGGTCCATCCAACGGTCTGGAATGTTCTAGGCCCATGTGGATAGAGAAGAAGCAAAACCTCAGCCCTCCCTACAACGTGTCTGTATTCACACTGGGAAATGGTTCACATATAGAAGAGTGAACACATAAGCAACGGCGTGGTGCCTCTGGGGCGAAAGCTGACTCCATCGGCTTTTTGGCTGTTGCCTCCTGTGTGTCTTTCCCCTCTTGGTCACCTGGAGTGTGTAATTTTAGAAGCAGAGCTAGCAAATAGTTCCTCTTATAGCAGAGTTAGCAAATAATTCTACTCCTAAGTAGCATCACTTCTTGCCTGCCAGAAGGAGGGGTCTGGCAGGGGGAGAAAGTGAGAATGTGGGACTTGTTGGGATGCAGGGTCCTCTGGGCAGGGTGGCCGGGGTGCGAGGCCCAGCAGCCTGCATGTGGGAAGGCCAGGTGGAGACATAGCCCTTGGCCTTGGGTGATACCAGCCTGGCTCACTGTATTTTCTCTTCTTAAAACAGAGGTGGTGAAACCAGTATGTCTGCCCAACCCAGGCATGATGCTAGAGCCGGAGCAGCACTGCTGGATTTCTGGGTGGGGGGCCACCCAGGAGAAAGGTGAGGCTCCTGGGCATGTAGGACTGCAGGGCCCACAGATGGAGCATTGGGTTCGGAAGTGGGAGGTCCAGGTTTTAATCCCAGTTCTACTACTCAATGATTGGATGACTTTGGGTGATTCTCCCAGTCCTTGTGCCTCAGTTTCTCCATCTTCTAAATGGGAGAAATCCTGCCCACTCTACCTAATACACTGTGTTCTTATTACGATCACACGGAGCAGCATGTGGAATGGCTTTTGAAGTATCTGGGTCATACGAGTTTAGAGGTGCAGGATCTCCTGTGTTGCACCCATTGTGAGCTTGGAGCTGCCCTGGAGATCCCACCAAGGCCTCCATGGCTGAGTGACAGGGGCTTGGTGAGGACAGGCATCCTGGACCTGTGGTGGCCACGTCTAAACCTGTCCTCTGCCCTGATAACCACAGAGAGAGGCTCTCTCGGCCCCCTTCAGTTGCAGTCTGCATTTCTCTCTGACAGTCTTTCAAATGAAGAGAAACTGGCTGCTTCATTTTTATGGAGGGTTGGAAGAGCTTAGTGGCAGGCACAAAGGTTCATTTTACATATTGTTTACATCCTTCTCAAAAGCGTCTAGGCCATACAGACAGCAAATCCGTTCAAACAAGGGGAAAAGTGGAAAGATTGGGTGATTTGGGGGGAGCATCAGGGAAGGTAGTGGGGGGCATCCTGGCTCCTCATCAGCAGAAACTTACTGCAGTGGAGCCACAAGCTGGGCAAAAGGCCTCATGGAATCCAAGACGAAGGGAATAGCGACAAATATGTGTGCACACCTGCACCTAGTGCGGGCTGAGTGCTACTCAGGTGCCGGGAATGCAGAAGTGAACAGAGTAAGACAAACATCTCTGCTGTCAGGAGCTTTACCTCTCTTGTGGATGTGGGGGCCGGGGGCGGGGGGCAGGTGTGGTCAGACAGAAGACAAACAACTGAGCGAGGTAATTCCAAATATCTGAGGGTGGGGAGCAAGGTCCCGGCTACTTTGAAGGGGTGGTCAGGGAAGGCTTCTCGGAAGAGGTGGCATTTGAGCTGAGACTCAAATGGCAGAAATGTGTACACATCAAAAAGGCTAGTGCATGTATCTTAAGGTGTGGTCAAGGGGCCAAGGAGGTGGGCTGGGGCCAGATTGCATAGGTCCTTGTGGATTATGGTGAAGACACCAGCTTCTCGTCTGCTTGAGGTAGCAAGATCGTGAGCCAGGGAGTGCCATGATCTGGCAGCTGTGCGGGGAGTGGGGATGCATAGATGGAGATGAGGATCATGGTGACGAGTCCATTGCTGTGGTTCCCTGAGACAGGAAGGCAGCTCATAGCAGAGTGTGGACATGGTTGTGGAGAGATGAGGGTACATTTGGGCTAGAGCCACCAGACTTGCTGATGGGTTGCACGTCTGTGGGAGAGAGAGTGAGAAGTCAGGGACGATGGCTTTCTGCTCTGTGACTGAAGTCCCAGGGTGGCGGGTGGTGCCATCTTCCAAGCCAGGGAATATTGGTTGGTGTGAATTTGGGGTGGGAGAAGGTGTGATGGAGGGTTCTGGTTTTGCACATTAAGCCCACGGTGCCCAGAAGATACCCAAGGGGAGGCGAAGCGAGAGTGGGAAATGCAGAGATAACAAGTGCAGGCCGTGTCTTGAGAAGCTCTCATGTGCAGGGGAGCCAAGAAGCAGGCGGCCTAGGGAGGGTTGTGTGTGCTCCAGAAGGGTGTGTGCGTGCCAGAGGGGAAACGGGAGCCTGTGTCCTGGGTAGTGTTCAGTGAGGAGCAGGAAATTGGTTCGGCAGAACCAAGCATTTGGTGAATAAGAGGGGGATTCCACGGCACTGATAGAGCCCTGTGGTTTCAGAACTGGGAAGTTCTTTCCCTGAAGCTGAACTCCAGAGCTGCACTCAGCACAAGCACTGCCAGTTGTAAGGAGAATCCAGGTTTCCCAGGAGAGGGCTTGGTGCTAGGATGAGCTGAGGGGGGCAGGGCTGGAGAGAGAGCTGTGACCATCTGTGTAGTGTGTGTGCAGGTCTCAGGGAGGGAAGTGTGCTCTCCCTGCGAGAGCTGCTGGCAATACTGGGAGCTCAACAAGTCTCCCTGTCCTTAGGGAAGACCTCAGACGTGCTGAACGCTGCCATGGTGCCTCTCATTGAGCCGCGGAGATGCAACAGGAAATACGTCTACGACGGCCTGATCACACCAGCCATGATCTGTGCCGGCTTCCTGCAGGGGACCGTTGATTCTTGCCAGGTAATTCAACATGTTTATTCTACCTTTGACCCTTACCAGATCCTACTGAACCCCTCATGAGAGAGAGGGGATGCTTGGGGTCAGCAGAGCCTCCGCAGTGACATGGAGCCAGCTCGGGGCAGTCATGGGAAGTGATGGCCACAAACAGTGTGAACACTTCTGGTGGCAGAAGCAAGTACAAACAGCAAATCACACGCGCCCTCTGAAAAACTGGTATTTGGTAAAAGTGCCAGTGGAACAGAAACAAGTATTTAGACTATTTTAAATTATGAACAGCAATTTATTTGGTAACTATCAGCTTGTACAGATTAAAATTCAGGGTGGGGGCTGTCTCTTTGGGGGTTACATCTCTGTGACCGTCACCCTTTGATGGTGGAGACTTGGAGCCCACACAGTCACTCGTAACTCACACCGCAACACACACCCCCACCTCCTCTAGGCCTGGTCAGTGGTGTGCAGTGGATTGTGATTTTTCTGCTCTCTGTACCTTGCCGTGTCCCCCAGGGTGACAGTGGAGGGCCTCTGGTCACTTTGAAGAACGATGTCTGGTGGCTGATCGGGGATACAAGCTGGGGATCTGGCTGTGCCCAAGCTAACAGACCAGGAGTGTACGGGAATGTGACCATCTTCACGGACTGGATTTATCGACAAATGAGGGTAACTATCCTGTCCTCCTTCTGACTATTCTCTGATTCCTCAAGCCAAAGCCAGACATCTGTTAGGCATGGTTCTACTGCCGGAAGCTGACTGCTGACCACTGGTCAGCATGAAACAAACCCCGCTTACTCCAGCCACAGCCCCGTCCCCCTGGTGTCCACCCATTGCTCATTGCCTCTCACTGACTTCACTTGCATATTTCCCCTGGTGCTTGGATGAAAAGCGCTGGGGCTCGGCTTGTGTACTCTTTCGTGCTCTGCCGACCACACTTAGTTCTGGCTCAGCTGACTCAGTTATTCCACCCAGGTCACCTTGCATCAAACTTTTTTTTTTTTTTTTTGAGATGGAGTCTCACTCTGTTGCCCAGGCTGGAGTGCAGTGGCACGATTTCAACTCACAGCAACCTTTGCCTCCTGGGTTCAAGTGTTTCTCCTGCCTCAGCCTCCCGAGTAGCTGGGATTACAGGCACCTGCCACCACGCCCAGCTACTTTTTGTATTTTTAGTAGAGATGGGGTTTCTCCGTGTTGGCCAGGCTGGTCTCGAAGCCCTGACCTCAGGTGATCCGCCCACCTCTGCCTCCCAAAGTGATAGGATTACAGGCGTGAACCACCACGCCTGGCCTCACATGAAGCTTTTGATTTATAGAGAGCAGAGGGAAGAACCGACTGTGCCCATCCTTTTCTGGGGCTATCGAGTGGCCCCTGGGCAGCCCCCAAGGTTAGGAAGTGCAGGAGCAGCCAGGGTTCTCTGAAGCCCCAGACTCAAGCACGAGGGAAGGTCCCAGGGGTTCCCTGTGAACCTCATGGACGTCTCTGTTTAGCAGAGCCCTGGCCTTGGGCATTGCCCGGATAGAGGTTGAGAACCAGATCTTCTCATCTCCAGGGCCTCAGACTGTAGTTTTCTCAGATTGCTATGCTTTCCAGGGCTGGGCTACTAGTGGAAGAAAATGCTCTATTCTGTGTCCTCTCAAGTCTCCCAGATGCCCAGTCTGTTGAAGGAGGAGCAGAACCAGGGGGCATTTCCCGCTAAGGCCCGACCTGTGTCTCCTTCAGATGACACGCAGGACTCAGGGCCTTCCCGTGACCATGGGGCCCAGCTTGGCCTCGCCTGGCACAGGGCCCAGTGCTGGAAACAGATGACCCCAGGGGAGGCAGGGCAGGAGGGAAGCTGGCAGGGCTGGGACGGTCAGCCAGGCTGAGGGGCGGACTCATGCCAGGATGGAGCTAGCAAATGAGCCGGGTATGTTTGGCGGCTGCAGGTGGGTCCGTGTGGCTGTGCGGGGAGGGAAGGGCTGTGTGGCAGGAGAGCAGCTGGGGGAAGCCCAGACTCTGCTGAAGAGACGTCCCTCGGGCTGGCCTGCACATATGCTGCCTGCTCCTCCAGGAGCTCCTGCCCCGCCATGCTCAGCCTAACTCTGACCTCCATGCTGGAGAGAAAAATGATCCTTTGTGCTATTAAGCCTTGCTTACTTGGTTTCTAAGTGCTTCATGTGAACCTAGAGGAAAAAAACTATTTTCCACCTTTGTTTGTCTTAAGAAAATAATACTTTTTTTTTCCTATTTGAACAGGCAGATGACTAATCCTCATGGTCTTTGTCCTTGACATCGTTCCACGAGAAAACAAAGCGGCTGGTTTTGCTTCCCCGTGCGTGATTTACTCTTACAGATGATTCAGAGGTCACTTCATTTTTATTAAACAGTGAACTTGCCTGGCTTTGGCACTCTCTGCCATTCTGTGTAGTCTGCAGTGGCTCCACTGCCCAGCCTGTTCTCCTTAGCCCCTTGTCCACAAGGGGTGATGGCCGGCTGGTTGTGGACACTGGCGGTCAAGCGTGAAGGAGAGGGGTGGAGGCTGCCCCACTGAGATCTTCCTTTTGAGTCCTTTCCAGGGGCCGCTTTCGGATGAGCATGGAGCTGCTGCCTCTCAGCTGCTGGACGGCTTGAGATGGAAAAGGAGAGACGTGGAAAGGGAGACAGCCAGGTGGCACCTGCAGCGGCTGCCCTCTGGGGCCACTTGGGTAGTGTCCCCAGCCTAGTTCTCCACAGGGGGTTTTTGATGATTGGTTCTTAGTGCCTTAGCAGCCCCGGATGGTGGCTGGAAATAAAGGGACCAGCCCTTCATGGGTGGTGACGTGGTAGTCACTTGTAAGGGCAACAGAAACATTTTTGTTTTTACAGGGTGAGAATGTAGACAGTGCCCTTGGTGCAAGGGAAGCAATTGCACAGGCACTTGCCCTGAGCACTCCTGGTGCAGGTCTCCACCTGCACATTGGGTGGGGCTCCTGGGAGGGAGACTCAGCCTTCCTCCTTATCCTCCCCGACCCTGCTGCCAGCACCCTGGAGATTACACATGCCCCTTGGTCCTGGCAGGGGGCCAAGTCTGGCACCACGTTGGCCTCTTCAAGCCTACTAGTCACTGGAAATTGAGGTCCATGGGGGAAATCAAGGATGCTCAGTTTTAGGTACACTGTTTCCAAGTTATGTTTCTACACATTGCTACCTCAATGCTCCTGGAATCTTAGCATTTGATGTCTCCAAGTAGTCCACCTACATTTAACTCTTTGAAACTATCATCTTTTTGCCAAGTTTGAGTGGTGGCCTATTTGAGATACTTTGACAAAATGATTGGCTTCTGACTTTATGTTCTATAAATGAATGTGCTGAAGGAAAGTGCCCATGGTGGCGGTGAAGAAGAGAAAGATGTGTTTTGTTTTGGACTCTCTGTGGTTCCTTCCAATGCCGTGGGTTTCCAACCAGGGGAAGGGTCCCTCTTGTATTACCAAGTGCCATAACCATGAGCACTACTCTAGCATGGTTCTGCCTCTTGGCCAAGCAGGCTGGTTTGCAAGAATGAAATGAATGATTCTACTGCTAGGACTTAACCTTGAAATGGAAGGTCATGCAATCCCATTTGCAGGATCTGTCTGTGCACATGCCTCTGTAGAGAGCAGCATTCCCAGGCACCTTGGAAACAGGTGGCACTATAAGGTGCCTGCTCCCCAAGACACATCCTAAAAGGTGTTATAATGGTGAAAACGTCTTCCTTCTTTATTGCCCCTTTTTATTTATGTGAGCAACCATTTGTCTTTTTTGTATCTTTTTTAAACTGTAAAGTTCAATTGTGAAAATGAATATCATGCAAATAAATTATGCAATTTTTTTCAAAGTAATTACTGCATCTTTGAAGTTCTGCCTGGTGAGTAGGACAAGCCTCCATTTCCTTGTAAGGGGGTGATGTTGAGGCTGCTGGTCAGAGGACCAAGGTGAGGCAAGGTCGGTCTTGGCGCTCCTCTGGTTGGTGCCCTCAGTTCCTGAAGCCTGTCCTGTTGGAGAGGTCCCTCAAATGACTCATTATTATTCTGTTAGTCTGTTGCCATGCTCCTAATAAAGACATACCCAAGACTACAATTTATAAAAGAAAGAAGTTTGTTGGATTTACAATTCCACATGACTGGGGAGGCCTCACAATCATGGCAGAAAGCAAGGAGGAGCAAGTCACATCTTATGTGGGTGGCAGCAGGCAAAGAGTTTGTGCACAGAAACTCCCATGTTTAAAACCATCAAATCTCGTGAGACTCATTCACTATCCCAAGAACAGCACAGGGAAGACCTGCCCCCATGATTCAATCATCTCCTATCAGGTCCCTCCCACAACACCTGGGAATTATGGGAGCTACAAGATGAGATTTGGGTGGGGACACAGAGCCAAACCATATCATTCTGCCCCTACAGCCCCCAAATCTCATATCTTTACATTTTCAAAATGAGTCAGGCCTTCCCAACAGTCCCCCAAAGTCTCAACTCATTTCAGCATTAACTCAAAAGTCCAGAGTCTCATCCAACACAAGGCAAGTCGCTTCTGTCTATGAGCCTGTGAAATCAAAAGCAAGTTAATTACTTCCTAGATATAATGGGGTAAATACAGGCATTGGGTAAATACAGCCATTTCAAATGGGAGAAATTGGCCAAAGTAAAGGGGGCTGCAGGCCCCTTGCAAGTCCAGAATCCAGCAGGCCAGTCAAATCTTAGAATGCCAAAATGACCTCCTTTGACTCCATCTGTCATATCCAGGTCATGCTGATGCAAGAGGTGGGTTCCCATGGTCTTGTGGTCTTGGGCAGCTCCATCTCTGATTTTGCAAGATAAAGCCTCCTTCCTGGCTGCACCATGGGCTGGTGTTGAGTGTCTGCAGCTTTTCCAGGCACATAGTGCAAGCTGTCAGTGAATCTACCATTCTGGGGTCTGGAGGATGGTGGCCCTCTTCTCACAGCTCTACTAGGCAGTGACCCAGTAGGGACTGTGTAGTGGCTCCAACCCCACATTTCCCTTCTGCACTGCCCTAGCAGAGGTTCTCCATGAGGGCCCCACCCTGCAGCAAACTTCTACCTGGGCATCCATGTATTTCCATACATCTTCTGAAATCTGAGCAAAAGTTCCCAAACCTCAGTTTGTGCACTGGCAGGCTCAACACCATGTGGAAGCTGCCAAGGCTTAAGGCTTGTGACCTCTGAAGCCACAGCCCAAGCTGTACGTTGGCCCCTTTTAGCCATGGCTATAGTGGCTAGGATGCAGGGCATCAAGTCCCTAGGGTGCACACAGAACAAGGACCCTGGGCCTGGCCCATGAAACCACTTTTTCCTCCTAGGCCTCTGGGTCTGTGATGGGAGGGGCTTCTGTGAAGACCTCTGACATGCCCTGGAGATACTTTCCCCATTGTCTTGGGGATTAACATTCAGCTCCTCATTACTTATGCAAATTTCTGCAGCTGACTTGAATTTCTACTCGGAAAATGGGATTTTCTTTTCTATTGCATTGTCAGGCTGCAACTTTTCCAAACTCTTATGCTGTTTCCCTTTTGAAACTGAATGCCTTTAACAGCACCCAAGTCTCTACTTGAATGATTTGCTGCTTAGAAATTTCTTATGCCAAATAGCCTATATCATTTCTCTCATGTTCAAAGTTCCACAAATCTCTAGGGCCGGGGCAAAATGCCCCCAGTCTCTTTGCTAAAATATAACAAGAGTAACCTTTGCTCCAGTTACCAGCAAGTTCCTCATCTCTATCTGAGACCACCTCAGCCTGAATTTCATTGTCCATATCATTATCAGCATTTTTGTCAAAGCCATTCAAAAGGCCAGGTGTGGTGACTCACCCCTGTACTCCCAGGATTTTGGGAGGCCAAGGCAGGCAGACCATCTGAGGTCAAAAGTTCAAGACCAGCCTGGCCAACTTGGTGAAACCCCATCTGTACAAAAATACAAAAATTAGCCAGGCATGATGGTGGGTGCCCGTAGTCTACTGTAAACTACTAAGAAAAAAAAAATAAAATAAAATAAAAAAAAAATAAAATAAAATAAACTACTAAGGAGGCTGAGGTAGGAGAATTGCTTGAACCTGGGAGGTGGAGGTTCCAGCAAGCTGAGACTGTGCCAGTATACTCCAGCCCAGGCAAGAGAGTGAGACTCCGTCCTTATGTTCCCTCCTCCAGACCCGATTTTTCTGCCTCACTTACAGGGCAGACCACAGAAGCTGGAGAGCAGGCTCTGATCCCAGCACTGTCCGTCATGGGTGGGAATGGAGGGATGGGTAGGGAGGGGCAGTTCCATCACTTGCCTGAGCCCAGGGCCCCTCTAAGTGCAGGAAGGAATCACACAAAGCAGTCTCCAGGGCTCTCTCCAAGTTCTGACCACTGGGACCCTGCCCCTCTCCACTCTCAATGACTAGTTAGGACAGGCCTGGGGGATGACCACACATGTTCATTTTGGCTGAAAGGAACGTCCTTTCGGGCACCTTGGGGCGTCCCCAGCAGGTTCACTCCCCTGGGGAAATTGAAATTGCTGTTCTCTGGGACACACATTGTCAGCTTTCTTCATCCTTTCTGGTTATCACTAGCAAAATTCTAACAACAGCAAAATAGAATCCTGTGCAACACTTTGACACCTCTGACTCTGTTTCCAGTGCAGCAGAACCTTAAAGGCAGGTGGAAGACTAACTTGGGTGGTGGTGGAAGGAAGGGACGTTTTGTAGTGGAGAAGTTTCCCAGGCCTGCCACAAGAGGGCACCCGCCTCATGGAAGGGCCGGCCTGTCTGACTCACCAACACAGCAGAGGACCTGGGCCACGTCCACTGCAAGAACGCATGCCTAGTATTGAATTAAGAATGCTTGGACCCGGCTGGGCGCGGTGGCTCAAGCCTATAATCCCAGCACTTTGGGAGGCCGTGGCGGGTGGATCATGAGGTCAGGAGATCGAGACCATCCTGGCTAACACAATAAAATCCTGACTCTACTACAAATACAAAAAACTAGCTGGGCATGGTGGCATGTGCCTATAGTCCCAGCTACTTGGGAGGCTGAGGCAGGAGAATTGCTTGAACCTGGGAGGCAGAGGTTGCAGTGAGCCGAGATTACACCACTGCACTCCAGTCTGGGCGAGACTCTGTCTCAAAAAAAAAAAAAAAAAAAGAATGCTTGGACTCGCCCAGCCTTACTCTTGCAAACCTGTGTGTGTGCTGGTGTCGTCTCTCCCTTAAGCATGAGTCAAAATGATCAGCCTCTGCTAACTCAGTAGCTCAAGTCAGCCTGCAGGTGCACTTCAGCACCTGGGAGAGCCATAAAGGTACTGCCCAGCGGCAGCTGCTGACCTGGGCTTGTGAAATGCCCACTGCTCTCCGGACATCCTCTCTTATAAATGAATTCTCAAACTTTCCGAAGAATTGAGAATTATAGAGTCCCAAGAGTCAGAAGAGATCTGGGATGGGGGGCAGTCCAGAGGGGAGAGGACTGAGTTGCTGGTCCAGCCCCCATCCCCAACCTGACAAGCAGCTGTGCAGCTTGGCCTGATGCCTCCACTGCCTGGGACCTCACAGCTCTTGAGGAAGCCATGCCATCCGGGGGCCCCTCTGTAGAAAGTACCCCCATTACCCACACTGATCACCTAGAATGTACCTCCCCAGAGGACATCGCACTTTGGTGCTCACACTTCATCTCTCTTGTTGCCTCTTGGCTTTCTCTTTCCTAGGCTCGGGCAATCCTGATCCTTCAACTCTCCCCTTAAGGGACACAGTGTTTGGTCCTCTCCTGCCCCATCCATCCAGTCCACTGTTCAATTTCCTGCCCTTGAGCCTGCCTTGGCCTCATGGTGAGGAGGCCCAACAGCAGCACTGATTGGCAGCCATGGTTCTCAGGCTCAAGGGCATAAGAGTGTGGCTTAGAGTCTCCCCCCACCAGGCTACACCAAAGAGAACTTCAGTCGGGTTCTCCTCCAAGGTTAGTGTTCTGCCTTCTCTGCTTCCAGACCACTCCCCTCCGGCCACAGCCTCTGCAGGTAAAGGCCCACTGGGAAACCTCTTTTTTCTGACATGGAGTCTTACTCTGTAGCCCAGATTGGAGTACAGTGGCACAATCTGGGCTCACTGCAACCTCCACCTCCTGGGTTCAAGTAATTCTCCTGTCTCCGCCTCCTGAGTAGCTGGGACTATAGACACATGCCACCACACCCAGCTAATTTTTGGATTTTTAGTAGAGACCGGGTTTCACCATATAGGTCAGGCTAGTCCTGAACTCCTGGCCTCAGGTGATCCACCCGCCTTGGCCTCCCAAAGTGCTGGGATTACAGCGTGAGCCACCGCACCTGGCCTGGCAACCTCTTCTTGACTGGGCCTTGTGCTTTTCAACTCCATGCTAGGTACCCAGTGACTCAACAAATTGGACACTTGATCAATGCACATTATTAACAGTTAGCACCGCTGGCTTCATATTCTGTTTCATTTTTTTAAAGTGTGTTCCCCTGTTTCCCTCCAGTCTGTAGGAAATCATCAGACCCTGTTCTTTTGCTCGCTCCTACCTGGCCCCACCATGGAGGGCAGCTTTAGCGCCAACTGCTCCATTGCGTCCTACCTGCTAGTTTCAGGCTTCTCCCCAAAATACAAAACATGGCAGAGCGGTGTCCACTAGAGATAAGTTTATTACAAACGGAGGAGACAGGGCTCTGACAGGACTGACACACATAGCACTCATGCTCCTAAAACACTGGATTTGTGTAGGGACATTACAAAAACCAGGAAATAAGCTTCTGTGATGCTCAGTCCATGTCAGCTCCTAAGAATACAGAGAAGGGGAAGAGCTGCCAGGCGGAGCAATTCTGAGGGCTGAAAATCCCTTTCCCAGTACGAAGACAGCATCCTTCATCCCCACCAGCTCATGTGCATCTGAGGGTGGGGCTTTGTCTTCATGCTGGAAACCAAACTGCTCTCACAGCTTCTCACTAAATTGCCATGGGCTAATGGATAAGCAGAGACTGTGACTATCAAGTCTGACTACTGAGCACTCAAGTAGTCTGTTCAGTGGTTACCTGGGAACAGGGGCAGACGGTGTGAGTGCACCTTTACAGGGCTGGACAGAGCGTGGTTAGCCAGGGAACTGGGCGAGCCGGCGCCGAGCTTGCGTCAGCCGTGCAAGCCGCTCCTTCAGGAACTTCCGCTTGTCACTGGTGTCGCTCCGCTCCTTCAGGAGCCAGCTATAGGTGTCCTTGTCCTGCAGGAGCTGCAGCATGGCCTTCTGAAGCTGCTGGCCATATGTCTGGAGCATGAAGAACTGGATGATCAAAGGGATGTGGCTGGAGATGCGCTTGCTGGCCTCCTGGAAGGAAAGAACAGTTCATGGGAGGGTGGAGGGGACACTGTGAGGAAGGGACTCCGACTTCACCATGTGCACATCAGCGGATCCAGATTCTCAATGAGGGATACCCTCGCGAGGCAAGGACCTTCCCCTGGGTTTCAAACCCACCAATCTCCTCCATGGTGGTGGCAGAGAGGAACGATGCACGGTGCAGAGAATCTTCCAGCTATGAGTCATATTCCCACCAGCTTTTCCTGACCATTAAATGGGTACCTCTGATGGAAGGGGGCAAATATGCTCTATAAAGGTAAGCAGGCAGACAGTGGAAAAACTGCATTTCCAGACCAGCCTGGTCAACGTGGTGAAACCGCCTCTCTATTAAAAATACAAAAACTAGCCAGGTGTGGTGGCACGCGCCTGTAGTTCCAGCTACTCGGGAGGCTGAGGCAGGAGAATCCCTTGAACCCCGGAGGCCAAGATTGCACCACTGCACTCCAGTCTGGGCAACAGAGCAAGACTCCATCTCAAAAAAATTTAAAAAAGAAAGAAAGAAAAAAACTGCGTTTCCAAATTATTTACAAGCCTGCCAAAGAGATTTGAAGGCTGCTGCTTCTTTTTAATCAACACTCAAGTGACTCAGTAGAAAAAAACATTGGGCTTTCAAAAGCCACGGAAGGAAGCTGTCTGAGTTACCTGCATGTAGACAGTTTCTACCACTTCCTTTCTCCCTCCCCAAAGTCCCACCTATTAGCAAAACTTTTTTCTTTCCCAGGATGGGTGGATCTCAGGAAGTTGCAGTGTACTGGTCCCTCAGCAAGGTTCTGGTATCTTCTCTATAAAACAGGGCTAATGTGAGGCACTGGTCTCATGGGGTGGTTAAAAACATTAAAGGAGTTAAAAGATGAAATTTTAGAAAGATGCAAGTTTAGAAAGATGCCAGGCATGTAATAAGCACTTCGTATGGGTGAGACTGAGGCAGAACTCCCGATCCATGTTCTGTGACCACAGTGACCGAGAGGCGGGGTGGTCACCACCTGGAAATGGGGGAAAGGAGACAGGACCAGGCTGAAGGCAGGCTTTCAGGGCAATGCTGGAGCCCCAGACAGGGGCAGACGGTGTGAGTACTCACCAGGAGAACCGAGGAGAATCAGCTGCAAAACTGCTACAAACAGAGTCAGGACGGGTGTGAGGTATGGCATTGATACATCTAAAGCTCATATTCCAAAATCGCATCTAACACCCACAAACAGGAGACATAGAGGGAGAAAAGCCGCTTTACAGTACACAACAATGAGAACATGTAGGCATAAAGCTCAGAGATGTGCACCTTATACAAAGAAAACTTTAAAATATTCCTGAGGACCTGGCAAAAGGAGGCCTTAAAAACAGAAAGACTTGGGAGGTTGAGGCAGGTGGATCACAAGGTCAGGAGATCGAGACCATCCTGGCTAACACAGTGAAACCCCGTCTCTACTAAAAATACAAAAACATTAGCTGGGCGTGGTGGCAGGCGCCTGTAGTCCCAGCTACTCAGGAGGCTGAGGCAGGAGAATGGCGCGAACCGGTGAGGCGGAGCTTGCAGTGAGCCGAGATTGCGCCACTGTACTCCAGCCTGGGAGACAGAGATCAGCCTTGCCAACACGGTGAAACACTGTCTCTACAATAAAACAACAATAACCACAACAACAACAAAACTTAAGCAGGGCATGGTGGTGTACACGTGTAGTCCCAGCTACTTGGGAGGCTGAGGCTGGAGAATCACTGGAACCTGGGAGATGGAAGTTGCAGTGAGCCGAGATCGAGCCACTGCACTCCAGCCTGGGCGACAGAGAGAGACTCTGTCTCAAACAAAACAAAACAAAACAAAACAAAATCAATAAAAAACCGGAAAGGCTCAAGATGTTCTTGGAAAAAGACACGATGTCAGCATAACGTCAGCGCTCCCTACGGAGGGCTATGCAGTGAATGCAATCCCAGTACATACAGCAGCAGTTATCATCATTCACGAGAAACTGGATACACTAATTCTGAAATTCATATTGAAACTGGACAAACACAAAGAGGCAGAACATCTCTACATAAAAACAAGTGGGAACCCAGAGAACTGGACACCCATGTTCTTAGTAGCACCATTTACAACAGCCAAAAGGTGAAACAGGTCAAGTATCCACGATACAAGAAACGGGTAAAAATAATGTGGTGTGTCTATCAGTGGAACAGTATTCTGCTTTTATTGAAAAGGCGTGCACCTGTGATCCCAGCACTTCGGGAGGCCGAGGTGGGAGGACTGCTTGAGCCCAGGAGTTCAAGACCAACCTGAGCAACATAGGGACACCCCGTCTCTACGAACAATTTAAAAATCACCCGGGTGTGGTGGTGCATGCCTGTGGTCCCAGCTACTTGGGTGGTGGAGGTGGGAGGATGGCTTGAGCCTGGGAGACTGAGGTAGCAGCGACCTAGGATCACACCACTGCACTCGAGCCTGGGCAATAACAGCAAGACCCTGTCTCTAAAAACACCACCACACTTTGGAAGGCCTAGGTGGGCGGATCACTTGAAGTCAGGAATTCCAGAACAGCCTGGCCAATATGGTGAAACCCTGTCTCTACTAAAAATACAAAAATTAGCCAGGCGTGGTGGCACACACCTGTAATCTCAGCTACTCGGGAGGCTGAGGCAGGAGAATTGTTTGAACCCAGACAGGGGGAGGCTGCAGTGAACTGAGATCATGCCATTGCACTCTAGCCTGGGGGACAGAGCGAGACTCTGTCTCATAATAAATAAATAGGCGTGAACCTCTGACACTTGCTACCACCTGGATGAGGACATCATGCTACATGAAATAAGCCAGTCACAACTCCTATGAGGTACTTAGGTTAGTTGAATTCACAGAGACAGACAGTAGGATGGTAACTGTCAGGGACTCGGGGACAGGAATGGGGAATGTGTTTAATGAGGACAGTTTCAGTGTGGGAAGGTGATAGGGTCCTGGAGGTGGCTGCTGGTGATGCTGGCACGATATGAATGTACTTAATGCCACTGAACTATGTACCCCAAAATGGTTAAGATGATAAAATAGACATGATGAATATTTCTGCACAATTTAATGAAAGAAAAAGTGAGGGTGATGTGGGGGTGCTGGCTGCACTAGATGGTGAAACATGGGATAGGGATGTACCAGTGTGACCTGGGTGACACTGACGGATGAAAAGAAGGAAAACAGGGCTGAAGACAGGGTGCAGACAGGACCTAACGCAGGGAGGAAGCGAGTGCCAGAGCGGACCAGCGGGAACTAGACGACCCTCCCAGGACGGGACTGGGACCTCTGCTGCCATCTGGATCCTGCCTCATTCTTGATATCAAAGAACTCCAAATGGACCAAAGGTATCATGTAACAGTTAAAATAAGAAATTAGAGAAAATATTGTCTACCTCATTTATCATCTCAAGGAGACAAAGTCCTTTTAAAGTATGACAAAAATCACTGAAGCCCAAATCCCACTCAAATGTTCTGCTCTAGAAAACTTGAGCATAGTCTAAAATCACCATAGACAAAAATGACAAAGCAAATGACAAGCAAATGACAAAATGCAGAGCGTCTGCATCAGAAATCGCAGATGTCTACTATCTCGCCATGCCGAGACACTCCTCCTGGATGAACTGTTTGCTGAGCAAGAAATAGAAATAACTCTCAACACACAGAAAGATGCACCACCTCATCGTCATAAGAGGATGCCAATTAAAATTATAATGAGACATCATTTTCATCTATTAGGCTGTCAAAAAACCCCAGTGAGGCCGGGCACAGTGGCTCACGCCTGAAACCCCAGCACTTTGGTAGGCCGAGGCGGATGGATCACAAGGTCAGGAGTTCAAGACCAGCCTGGCCAATATAGTGAAACCCTGTCTCTACTAAAAAAGAAACAAAAATTAGCCAAGTGTGGTGGCATGCACCTGTAGTCCCAGCTACTCAGGAGGCTGAGGCAGGAGAATCACTTGATCTCAGGAGGCAGAGGTTGCAGTGAGCCAAGATTGAGCCACTGCACTCCAGCCTGGGCGACAGAGTGAGACTCTGTCACCAAAAAACAAAAACAAACAAAACAAAAAAACCAAAAAAAAAAAAACCCATCAACTTTAATGCAGACTAAACTGGCCAGTGTGGATGGAAGCAGGCCTTCTCTGGGTAATCTTTATCAGTCTAAAACAAGCCATCCTTTCCCCAGCTGTGATGCTCTGTTTCATGTGTCAACTTGGCTAGGCTCGAGTCCTCAGTGATTCCATCAAACACGAATCTAGGTATTGCTGCGGAGGTATTCTGTAGATGTGGGTAACGTGTAACCCCCTGTAAGTGAAGGAGGCCATTCTCGAGGATGTGGATGGGCCTCATCCAATCAGTTGAGGGTCTTAAGAAAAATGAGGTTTCCCTAAAAAGAAGAAATTCTGCCTGTAGACTCAGCCTTAGCTCCTGCTGCAATTTCTGGTCTGCCCTCCCTGCTGGCATGCCCTGGGATTTTGGACTTGCCAGGCCCCAAAATGGTAGAAGCCAATTCCTTGAAATATATATATTTCTTTTCTTTTTTTTTTTTGTTTTTGAGATTGAGTCTCGCTCTGTCACCCAGGCTGGGGTGCCGTGGCGTGATCCTGGCTCACTGCAACCTCTGCCTCCCAGGTTCAAGCAATTCTCGTGTCTCAGCTTTCCAAGTAGCTGGGACTACAGGCATGGGCCACCACGTCCAGCTGCTTTTTTTGTAGTTTTAGTAGAGACCGGGTTTCACTATGTTGGCCAGGCTAGTCTCAAACTCCTGGCCTCAAGAGATCCACCCACATCAGCCTCCCAAAGTGCTGGGATTACAGGCGTGAGCCACCATGACTGGCCGAAATATATTTCTTCACATATATATATCCATGGTTCTACTTCCCTGCACAATCCTAATATAACAGGAATCTCATTTCTGGGAGTCGATGCTTCCACATACATGATATACAAAAACCTACTCACAGCAACACGCCTGCATTAGCAAAAGACGCAAACAAACCATTCGCTTAAAGAGCTGGCTCAATACACCACAACCATACAGTGGGATACTCAGCAGCCATTGAAAAGAACAAGGCAGCCCCATCAGAACTGAGGCAGAACAATCTCCCTGGTACAGCAAAAGAGGCAGGGTGCAGAGGAGCACGTCTCCTCCTCTGCTAATCTTTGTGTAAAAACCATTACAAAATGTATATGCATGGGAGCTTTGGAATGCATGAGTCGCCCTGGGAGGACAGAAATGAACCTGGAGAAGGGCTGCTTCTGTCCGGGGAGCTGCTTGGCTCAGAGACTTCTTTGCCATTGTCACTCATCCTATTGTTTGGATTCTGTGAACGTATATGCCTCACCTACTCTCAAGGCAACTATTCATTCTAGGAGGCAGTGTAAGCGGCAGACAGGTGTGAGTTTGGTTGCAGGAGAAGCCGATGTGCATGCCTGTCTTCCCCTTAACTGGCTTCACTCACGTGCGTGCAGCTCCCAGTGTCTGGAGGAACGGAAGTTGACTCTTGGTTTACAGCCTTGCTGCTCAAAGTGCAGTCTCCATCCAGTAGTATGGGGACCCCTGAGAGCCCGTTAGAAATGCAGAGGTCAAGCATGGTGGCTCACGCCTCTAATCCCAGCACTTTGGGAGGCCGAGGCAGGCAGATCACTTGAGGTCAAGAGTTCAAGACCAGCCTGGCCAACATGGTGAAACCCTGTCTCTACTAAAAATACAAAAAAAAGCCAGGCACGGTGGCAGCTGCCTTTAATCCCAGCTACTTGGGAGGCTGAGGCAGGTGAATTGCTTGAACCCAGGAGGTAGAGGTTGCAGTGAGCTGAGATTGTGCCACTGCACTCCAACCTGGGCGACAGAGACTCAGTTTAAAAAAAAAAAAAAAAAAAATGCAGAATCTCAGCCTCATCCTGATCTGCAATTAGCATCTGCATTTCCACAAGATCCCCCGGAGGCCCCTGTGCTGGGTGAAGTTTCAGAGGCACTGCTTTAAAGCATCCCAATAGTGAGGCAATGGGGACATGTGATAAACCAAGAGATTACAATTTGCTTTACCTCCTCAGGTGTTTACACATCCCAAGGGCTCTACCTGAGTTGTGCCTGTGTTCACTGCCTCCTTCCCCAGGATGAATTAGATGGTACTTCAGGTTATCTGAATCGTGCAGTATCACCCAAAGCATGTGTCTATGAGATAGCTTCCATTTAGTCTGCTACCACCGCATTCCAATGTTGCACTAAGGAACTTGTTAACCAAAAATAAAATCCTATGCCTTCCAGCCAACTCAACAGACTCCCTTCTTGGCCAAGTGGACCCCAGAGAAACCTGAAAATCTGCATTCCTGGCCATAACAGGAAGAGAAGCCAGGCCCCTTTTGGAGTTTAGGTTGAAATTGAGATAAGACTGGCAAACAAGACTCTGTGGCAGGAAGCTACCAGATTATAAAGTCATGCGAGGCAGGGGTTAAGTCACACATGCCCAACAAGCCATAAAATCTCCTTGGATGGGCTTTCACGAACTTGGTATAATGTGGCTTACTTTCCAACCCGACTCTGGTATAGCATCACAAGACAGATAGCAGACCCTAAAGGAAATACAAATATTTTACCTAAAAATACATTTTTTGGACATATTTTGAAACGGCTGTTACAGGACCAACAGATGGAAATGGCCCTGCCACGTTTTGTCGGGGGGGAGTTTGCACCGTAAAGAATCTCCATTAATGCAGCCAGACCTCTCCCCTTCTAGGCCTTCCCTGAATCTAGGAGATTAACTGAGAACCTGCTGCCTCTAAGGCCTGAAAAGAAACATTTACCATTTATTCTCTCTGAAGGCTGCTACCCAGTCTTCATCTACATACCTTTGGCCTCTAACACTGCCCTTAACTCAGGTATTTCTTTCTATTGATGTCAAGTCTGTAGACAAAGCTTAACTCTTTCAAGCAATTGCCAACTGGAAAATCTCTGAACCCACCTATGACTGGTAAGCTCCCCCTCCTTCAAGGTGCCCTGCCTGTTTAGGGAGGACAAGTACATCTCCCATGTATTTATGATTTTACCTACAATTCCTGCCTCCCTAAAATGTATAAAATCAAACTACATCCTGACAGCCTCAGGCACACTTCCTCAGGACCTCCCGAGATTATTCCCAGAGCCACGGCCCCTCATATTTGGCTCAGAATAAATCTCTTTCAAATATTTTAACAGAGTTTGGTTTTTCCATTAGTAAGCAACTAACATCATCCATACTTGTCTCCTGGAATATCCACTACAATCTATGAGGAGACACCATTTTACAAAGAAAGCTGGGGCTCAGAGAGGTTAAGTAACTTGGCCAGAGCTAGACAGCCATCAAAACCAGACGTCAGTGGCTCTAAGCCACCACCTCTCGGTCTGAGGTTGAGCTGCTTCTATGGAGGCGATATGGTTTGGCTGTGGCCCCACCCAAATCTCATCTTGAATTGTACTCCCATAATTCCCACATGTTGTGGGAACGACCCAGTGGGAGATAATTGAATCATGGGGGCAGTTTCTCCCATGCTATTCTCGTGGGAGTGAGTAAGTCTCACGAGATCTGATGGTTTGATAAGGGGAAACCCCTTTCACTTGGCTCTCCTCTCTCTTGCCACCACTGCCAGGTAAGAAGTGCCTTTTGCTTTCTGCCATGATGGTAGAAGGCCTCCCTAGTCACGTGAAACTGTAAGTCCATTAAACCTCTCTCTTTTGTAAATTGCCCAGTCTTGGGTATGTCTTTATCAGCAGCATGAAAATGAACTAAGGCAGCAGGCTAACAAGGGGGTGAATGACAGAGCTGACCAATGTCACCTACAGAGAGAGCAAGACAAAAGAGACAGGCGCTTAGAAGAAAAGGAAAGAACGGAAGCTGCCATCCTGAACCACGCGAAGACGTACCTGGTGATAGGCCATCAGGTGCTGAAAGATCTCCTCCATGGAAGATTCTGTCGAGGAGAACTGGAAAGTCCCCACATCCCAGGATTTCTTCTTCTTTTCTTCTTCCAGCTCCTTCTCTCTGACCTTCTGCAATGCACCCCTGTACACCTGGTCCTGGCAGTAGACAATCTGCTCCATCTGGAAGTGGAGGCGGATCAGCTTCTCACCTTCTCTCTCTTGTTCTGTTCTAATGTCTTCGATTTTGGACTACAGTAAAAAAAACAAAAAAACAAACAAAAAAAACCACACAAAACTCGGTTTCCCGAGTCACAGGAAAGTAGGTAAGAAGTCGGTAAATACCAGGTTACCCGACGTGAGTGAAACAGCACGTTTCCTGGGAACAGCCCTCTGGGCCATGCCCTGGTGTATCTAAGGTGGGTTTCTAGCCCTGGCTGAGGGTCAGAGCTTCCCACGAGGCTTGAGCCACAGACGGGCCAGATCCCCATCCCGGGGCCTGGGGACCTGCATGGGCTTTGCTTTCAGGTTCTATAACTTGGCTTCTTTCCTTTCTCTTTTAGCAGCTTTTATATCTGATGGTGAGGATTGTCATATCAGATAATCCACAGGGATGAGCAGGGGAGCCAAGTTTAAGTCAGACAAATTCTGTTGTATGTTCCTGGGGTTTAGAGAAAATGGTTGTCAAAACCTGAGGAGGAGAAACTTCACTCCTGGACCCTCCAGGCCTTGATGAGAGGCACAGTGCACGGTGGCAGGTGCATCCTAAACATCTGCCTCCACATCCATCTCGACCTTCTGGGGAAAGCCTTATTAGCTTCATTTTATGAATGAGGAGTCGGGGCACAGGCTGGAAGTGGCACATTCCAAGGCCTCCAGCTGGTGAATGATGGGGCCAGGCTCCTCATCTGTGCCGGGGATGCCTGTTTCTAAGAGTGGCTGAGTGTGGTCTCTTGGCCCAGTCTGTCCCCCAGGCTCATTTCCTGTAGGCTCTTTTTTCATTCTGGAAAGTTTTGAGACAGAGTCTCGCTCCGTCACCTAGGCTGCAGTGCAGTGGTGCAATCTCAGCTCACTGCAATCGATTCTCAAGTGTCAGCCTCCCAAGTAGTTGGGACTATAGGCAGGTACCACCATGCGCCCAGCTACTTTTTTGTATTTTTAGTAGAGATGGGGTTTTGCCATGTTGGCCAGGCTGGTCTCAAACTCCTGGCTTTAAGTCATCTACTGGCCTCAGCCTCCCAAAATGCTGGGATTACAGGCTCATCGTGCCCACTTGGGCCAGAAAGATTCTATTTTTACACGTAGCTTCCTCAATGAGTTTCTGGATTTGGAGCCATTGCCTTTAGATGTGATAATCTTCTCCACTAACTGTGGATCTCTTGCTCTATGTGTTTAAGCACTCTCTCCTTTATTGCTTTCAACCAGACATCACCGGTAACACCAGAAGAAGCACTAGTGAGTGACGTTATTTGCTGCTCTAAATGTATACAATAAAATTGAAATAATCCTCATCCAAGAAATCTGTTTTCTAGTGTCAAGCTTAGTTTAAAAAAAAAAACACACACAGTTGGTTTTACCTTGGCGGTTCTGTGGAGGTTAAAAAGTTCTTCAAAATTTTTCATTGAAACATCTGTGAAAGCAAGCCGGACCATATCTAATCAAAGAGAGAAACACAGTTCAATATTGGTAGGATCATTTGTTCTCTTCCTAAGATGCAAAAAAAATATGAGGATCAAATGATATGAAGTCAAGTTTCCCCTCTCCCCCCTCCCTTCTTCTCTTTACCATGAAAAAGGAAGGCGGGCTCTTTTTGCTTAATAACTTGCTGGAAGAATCTTAAAAGCCAATGACCCCTGGCATACATTTATTTGATACTTAAGCTTTTTATCCTAAACAGTTGCAAATAATATAATTTCTGTTAAATTATAAATATTAATATTTTGATACAACTCTTAATATAAGTCAAATCACTCTTAATGTAGACATTCAAATTCCATTGATATAATTTATCCATTTGAAAAAAATATAAGAACAAGCTTTTAGATTTAAAAATTTATATTATTTTTTATTTTTGAAACTCATTTCTATTCCACTTCCTCACAGAATTTTATTGTAATACAACATATAGTATCTTTATGATTGAAAACCTCTTATGGATCTCCATGTCATATATTTCTGAAAAAGAAGTAGGTATATCTATATCGATTTTTATGACTATAAGGCTCTAAGTATTACAAACTTTCCTCTGGAGTAAGAGTCTACAATGGACCAAACCAACATGATTGCAAGTTTTGGTATATGATTATTAAGGCTAAAAGGTCAATTTTACTGGAAATACACCTCTGAATGAGCTGTTCTCAGGCTCTCTCCAGCTCCTTAGTTCATAGATCCATGAGTTATTATTAATTACTCCTAAGATGAGACAGCTGAAGTGTGAGTAAGGATGCTGTCAGTCAAGGAGAGGATGAAGAAAAGAGATTCAATAACGTCTGGAAAACCAAGAAAGCAAAGCATTTCAAGAAGGGAGTGGATCCACAGTGGGATATAGTTTCCTACCTATCTGTGACACACCTAGATTCCTACAGCACTCTAAAACGCTCCAAACACGTCTACATGTGCAGTTATTTAACCACTGGCTTTACTCCTTGGAGATTTCAAATAAACGGCCGATTTTGAGTGTGAATTTTGAGTGTGAAGCCAGCATAGCAGTGAACAGGGTGGAGGTGTGGTGTGATAGGAAAAATAGAAATATTTTGTCTTTGTCACCAATTCCTAACACAGAAGCCCCTACATCTCTTGGAATGTCTGGCCTGTTAAGAGTATCTCGTGTTTTTAAGAGATGATGCCCGGTGGGCCCCTACACAGCTTCAGGATTGGGACCGGGCGCTAGAAAGACCAAGTCTTGACTAGAAACTTAGAACTTCCAGCTCCACAGAGGAGGGAGGGCCTGGAGACTGAGTCAATCATCCATCATGCCTTCGCGATGAAGCCTCCATGAACCCTCCTCAGTAGTGAGGTTCTAAGAGCTCCCTGGTTGATGACCACATCCCTGTGCCATGAGGGTGGTGCCACCAACCCCGTGGGGACAGAAGCTTCTGTATTCAGGCCCCTACTATGTGCCTCTCCAACAGCTTCATTTGTGCCCCTTATCAAATCCTTTCTAATAGACCCGTAAATGTTAGTGAAGTGTGTTCCAGAGCTCTTGGCTGACCTGAGGAACGGGTGGCAAGAACCCTGATTTATAAACAGTCTGTCAGAATGGGAGGTCTGGGGCTTGTGACTGGCGTCTGCAGTTGGGGCCGGTCTTGTGGGACTGAGCCCTTTAAGCTATGGGATCCACATAGACTCAGGGCAGTGTCAGAATTGAATTGAATTGTTGAACACCAACTTGACACCTGCAGAATTAGAGGTTTGCTTGGTGGTGTGGGATGCTCCCCAGGAGGAAAGTGCTCAAGTCTGGTGCTGGCTTTGGTTCGAACCTTTCCCTTCTTTAGAAATCAACGCCCAGAAGTGAAACTGAGCACTCACCCGTCACGGTGTGTAGCATATTCACAGCTGGCTCTTCCAGCGCCTTGATTTGCTGTTTTACGATTGTCTCAAATGTCCTGTAATTCACAAAGCCTGGCAGCTCTCTACCACGATACTGATTTTCAAATTTCTGCATTTTTCTACTCGTAATTTTATGGCCTATAGCAGGAAAAAAATAACACCAAATTATCTTACAAAAATAATCTTGCACATTTTTCTAAACACAATACCATTCTAGATTTTCTGAAAATATAAATGGTAAGAAAAAGTGATATCAAATCAAATCTAACTGGTAAACTAAAAATATTCAGGGATTGCACACACACACAGAAAAGCCAGATCTCAAGATAATTTTCCTTAGTCACCTCAGGAAGGGGAGTGCAGAGTCAGGTACGATGCCAGGAACCTGCACATGCAGAAACTTTGAGTAAGACCCCCTCTTTTTTTTTTTTTTGAGACGGAGTCTTGCTCTGTCACCCAGGCTGGAGTGCAGTGACGCAAACTCGGCTCACTGCAAGCTCCACCTCCCGGGTTCACGTCATTCTCCTGCCTCAGCCTCTCAAGCAGCTGGGACTACAGGTGCCCGCCACCACGCCCGGCTAATTTTTTTGTATTTTTAGTTGAGACAGGGTTTCACTATGTTAGCCAGGATGGTCTCGATCTCCTAACCTCGTGATCCACCCGTGTCAGCCTCCCAAAGTGCTGGGATTACAGGCGTGAGCCACTGTGCCTGGCCAAGACCCCTTCTTAAAAACGTACTCGAGTATGAACTGTTGTGAACCTAATTTTAGTTTTACCAAAGAAATTGTACCATAACACATTCCTTGCCCTCAACTGCATGCCCATTAGAAATGAGCATGAACACTTTCTGGAATTAACAATATATCATATATTCATGTGTAGAAAGTGTTTACAAGTCAAATGGGATAACAGAGTAAACCAGCTACATCAACTTGTATGAATGTGATACAGTAGCACTGTTCACTGTGTAAGATGCTGCATTTTTCTTTAAACTTTTGGAATTGTTTGTACTCCCAACAGTCCACACTAGAGAGAGTTAGCCCCATCAGAAGTTCAGAGGGTGTGAGTTCCTTTTTGAATGGTAATCTAGTACCCTTTTTCAGTCAGGATGTCCTGACCTTATTTTCCCATAAGGATTTTTCTTACTGAGATATCATTTACATAGTATAAAATTCACTCTATTGAAAGTATATGGTTCAGGCCAGGTGCGGTGGCTCACGCCCATAATCCCAGCACTTTGGGAGGCTAAGGCTGGTGGATCACTTGTGGTCAGGAGGCCAAGACCAGCCTGGCCAACACGGTGAAACCCCATCTCTACTAAAAATACAAAAATTAGCCAGGTGTGGTGGCAGGTGCCTGTAATCCCAGCTACTAGGGAGGCGGAGGCTGAAGCAGGAGAATCACTTGAACCCGGGAGGCAGAGGGTGCAGTGAGCCAAGACTGAGCCACTGCACCCCAGCCTGGGCGACACAGCGAGACCCTGTCTCCAAAGGAAAAAAAAAAAGTGTACGTGTGAGTGAATTTTAGTATATTCACAAAGTTGTGCAACCATCCCCAGACATAACTCCCAAACCCCACCCCCATCACCCATCAACGACCACTTCCCACTTTTCCCTCCCCAGCCCCTGGCAGCCACTATTCTGCTTTATGCCTGACTGGGTTTGCCCACTCTAGCCATTTTCTATCAATGGAATCATAGAATATGATATGTGGCCTTTGTGGCTGGCTTCTTTCACTCAGCATGATGTTTTCAAGGTTTATCCATGGGGTGCTGTGGACCAGCGCTCCGTGCCTGTCTGCGGCTGGAAATATTCCAGGGCTTGGTGTTATGGGCTGAGTTTGAGTTGTGACCTCTTCAAAGTCCTATGCTGAAGTCCTAACCCTCAGGAACTCAGAATCTTACTCTGTTTGGAGACAGGCAAAGAGGTAATTAAACTGAAATCAGGTCACTAGGGTAGGCCCTCATCCCATGTGCCTAGTGTCCTTGTAGGAGAAGATGAGGACACAGACACACACAGAGGGACAACCACATGAGGACCTAGCGAGAAGACGCCATGTGCAAGGCAAGGAGAGAGGCCTTAGAAGGGACCAACTCCACCAACACTTTGATCTTGGACTTCCAGCCTTCAGAATTGTAAGAAAATAAATTTCTACTGTTTAAGCCCCCATCAAGTCTGTGGGACTTTGTTATGGCAGCCGGAGCCAACTGTTACACACAGACACATGCCAGTTAGTTTATCGATTCATCAGCGGATGGTCATTTGGGTTCAGTGATATAGAAGAGAGCAAATGTGGCTTTAGCTGTCATCAGCTCCTTATCCTGACCATCCTCCACAACTGCCCCACTCTCCTGTCTTAAGCCAACATATCAGGCTCACCACGCTATTGACTCATTGCTATGGTCTACATGTTGGTGTTCCCTAAAAATTCCTATGTTGAAACTCAATCCTCAGTGTGATGGTATCAACAGAGGAGATCTTTAGGAAGAATTGGGTTATGAGCACTCTGCCCTCATGAATGGGATTCCAGGCACTTCAGGTACTGTATTTTTTGCAATTGAAGGTCGGTGGCAACCCCATGTCAAGCAAATCAGCACCATTTTTTCCAGTAGCACATGCTACCTTTTGTTTCTGTATCAGCAATTTTTTAGCAATAAGGTGTTTTAAACTAAGGTCCGTACATATTTTTTAGGCCTAATGTTATTACACACTTAGTAGACTACAGTATGGCATAAACTAACTGTTTATGCACCAGAAACCAAGAAGTTTATGTGACTTGCATTATTGCAATATTTGTTTTGTCTGGAACTGAACCCACAATCTCTCTGAGGTATGCCTCTGGTATCTCTGTAAAAAAGAGGTCTGAGGAAGCTTGTTCGTCCCATATCCCAAGAGAGGACACAGCTAGAAGGTGCCATCTTTGAACCAGGGAATAAGCTCTCACCAGACACCAAATTTCCTGATTCCTTAAGAATGGATTTCTTGCCTCCAGAACAATGAGCAATAAGTTTCTACTGTTTATAAATGACCCAGTCTCAGGTATTTGGTTGTAGCAGCTCAAAGAAGGGACTAAGACACTCACCTTCTTGCAAATTGTTTTCAATTATTATACCCCATTTGTGGAACTCACGTCGCAGTCTGGTAAACAGTCGGCTGTCATCTTCCCCTACAGTTTCCTCCCCTTGTATGAGAGCAGTGATGTCCTGATTAAAGGCATTAATTTTCTGTCAAGAAGAAAAACATCAGTATAAGCAGATAGACTTCAAATCCAAGGTCAAGGTCGTTTGGAGGCCGTGCCTATGTGGAGGGTGGGGAGTCATTCTTTGCTTCCTTATGGGACACTGTGGATCAGAGGAAAGCAGAGGTTTTGGCACCAGAAAATCCTATCCCACCCCTTACTGCCTTAAGGATCTGGGCAATGATCATGACAGAGTGGGTACAACGCAGCCTGAGCATCCCTCACTGCTGAGTGTCCCCGCACACCCACACTCCCTGCCCTGCCTCCCTCAGCCCTGTTCACTCTTTGAGTGCTATGGGCCAGATGTCTTTGGATCAGCTTTGGGGGAGTGAAGAAGGAAGTGCGTAAGGCCCAGGGCCCCTTTTCTGACCATGACATGTGCTTCTCCAGCTCCATGCAGCTGGCAACACTCACGTCTATCAGAAAGAACATTTTTTCATTTTCATCTTCCGGTATGTCGACACCATACTTTTGTAGCTCCTCTGTTATTCCCTGGTGACTCTCCTTGATTTGATTTTCTAACAGCGGCAGAGATTTCTGAGGAAAATGGAGAGAAAATAATGGGAATTTATAAAGATGAACAGGGAATGAAAAGGAGGTCCCGGGCCTCCCTCTACATAGGAGCTGTGTGGGCTGTTTGACTTCCTGGCTTCCTCTAAAAGGAAGCTTTTCCAGACCTGGGGGGCAGGGGGACACACGCCAGGGGCACTGTTTTCTGCCCAGGTCTTCCCCCTTCCCCACTCCTGTGGCAGCAGCCTCATGAGCGGCACTGAGGCACCCACTGTGCATGGGTTCTGGGCCCTGGTAGAGCGACCCAGGGGCGGTTCCTCCTGTCGTCGAATTAGGTAAACTCTCTGGAGGGAGACTGGAGAGATTCACTTGTTTAGTAGGTTCTGAAGAAGTGGCATTTGGAGCAATTGGAGATTCAACAACTTTTATGTTGTTTGCAATCAATAAAAAGTGATCAGAGACTTATGTTTTTAACAATACGGTTGACACCATGTGCTGGCTCACACTTCCATAGCAAACATCTAAAAATGCCGGCTGACATGTGAAAGCCATACCTTTAAAATGTATCGGTGGGCTGACGAGTTAGTGAGGGGTACTCAGATGCCAGCCCCAGTAACAGTGGCCAGGGAGGGGCTCAAGAAGGAGGCAGCAATGGAGCCTATCTCAGCCGCAAGGGCATCTGTCCAGGTAAGAAGACTCAAACGTGAACCTACGAGCCTGACTTGGTACAATGGCAAAAAAAAAAACCCCATGGGCTTGCTCGAGGTGGGGAATCTAATAAGGAAGCATCCCTTTTCTGCATACAATGGGACCCCAAAGAGCTCTGTGCTCATCACAGTCAGCTGGAAAACAACCCCATTCTGCACCCACATTCCTGGGGACCACATGGAAGACCTTGGTGCTGAGTTGAAAATTTGAAAAAGGCCAGCCTGGCCAACATGGCGAAACCCTGACTCGACTAAAAATACAAAAATTAGCTGGGCATGGTGGTGTGCACCTGTAATCCCAGCTACTCAGAAGGCCGAGGTATGAGAATGGCTTGAACCCAGGAGGCAGAGGTTGCAGTGAGCCAAGATCATGCCACCGCACTCCAGCCTGGGCAATAGAGAGAGACTCTGTCTCAAAAAAAAAAAAAAAAAAAAAAAAAAAAGGAAAAAGAAAATTTGAAAAAGGAAGAGACTACATTCATGCAGATTTTTAAAAAGAACCACAGAGCTTTTACAAAGCTTTTAGAAGTTAAAAAATACATTCATTAGAATGACTAAGACATTATAATAGTGGTTGTCAATGGGAAAGGAAAAGTTAGTAGCTTGTGCATAAGATTTTAATTTTAATTTTGGCCCAGTAGAGATAGTCTGTCAGCATCCCCCCAGACTGTGGTCCCCTGAAAAGCAGTAATCTGCATCGTCTGGGGGCTTGCTGGAAATGCAGAATCCTAGGCCGCACTCCAGACCCACAGAATCTGAATCTGCATCTTAACAAGATCCTCAGAAGATCTGTGTGTACAGCGATGTTTAAGCAGCCAGCAAGGTTCAGCTCTGTGTTCGTAGTATTCTTTTCAGAGAACCCACAGCTCTGCCCATGCTTACACAGATGTGTGCGATGAGCTCGCTGGTAAGTTTCTCTGCCAGGCAGGGAATCGTGGCCTTGCCTTCCTCCAGCAGATCCCTAAAAGAGAACACAGGAATGATTTCCACCTTGATGTAGCCAGAATACGCATGTCTGCCTTCTGCTGTTGGGAAAAGTCAAGGCGAATTTCAGTTGTTTACAACTGGATGGAATGTCTTGCAATTGGTACCCAACAAATACTCAGAATTGGATTGAATAGGATTATGACTGAATTTTAGCAATCTAGGATATTTCAACAATGATATGGAATAAGCCCTTCCAGCTGATATAATAAATGTGTATCATGGTATTTGACTCTAGACTTGGTCATCACAAAAATACACAGGCATGTATAGACACGTTTATATAACACATACCCCCTTCTATGTGTAATATGTGTAGGTAATCATAATGGATAGAGACATATCTTCATACGAATACATTGAAGCATACTGAGATAAATGGGTAGCAGAACACTGAGAAGAGACACAAGATATCTTGTCCAAGATAAAAACTTAAACCATGGGCTGCCTGGAGGAAGGAAGTCAAGCATCTTCTCACCCGATCCAAATTTGTGCTCCCAGGGTGTTATTACAGGGTTTCCCACATTTTATAGGACATTTTAGGATAAAGGAAGCAGCGAAGCATGAGTTTCTGTGCCTTTTTGTGAGAGTATAGTCATACCTAAGCTTCAGTTTCTCTGTCAATTTTTCTAGATTGTAGTAAAATACATACAACATAAAATTGACCATTTAACCATCTTTAAGAGTACACTTGAGTGGCATTAAATACGTTCACACTATTATGCAACCATCACCACTGTCCTCAGAACTTTTCATACTCCCAAACTGAAACAATGGCCCCATTAAACACTACCTCCCCATTCTCTCTCTCCCAGCCCCTGGCACCCAACCATTCTTTCTGTCTCTATGAATCTTACTACTCCAGGGACCTCAGCTAAATGGAATCAGACAGTATCCGTCCTCTTATGACTGGGTTCTTTAACTTAGTAGAATGTTCCCAAGCTTCATCCATGTTGTAGCATGTGTCGGAATGCCCTTGCCTTTCTAAGGCTGAAAGTATTCCACATTTTTGTACAGACCACATTGCTTTCTGCATCCATCCGTCAATGACACTGAGTCATCTCATCTTTTGGCTATTGTGAATGTGCAGAACAGCATGTAAGTTTCTGTTTGATATTTTTCCGGGAGCAAAAACAAATTCCCTGCTTCCATGCGGCTTGGCCCCACGGAAGTTCTTTTCTGCAGCGGGGCTCCCACTGGCCCCCATGGTTTCTTGCCAGGCCCATGGCCTGCCCTCAAAGCAAGGATGGGAGGAAACCCTGGGAGACTGGGCGGCATGGAGGGGCTGGTTCATTCACTTCCTGCCCTCGGGACCGCGGGCCACGTTCTCTCCCCCAACATACATCTGGCTCGCAGGAATCTTGAGAAGCCTGATCTGGTGGACAAAGGAACTGAAGACACCAGGTTGTGGGATTGTGGTGCGGAACCCGGTGTTCCACCTGAAAAGGGCTACATGGATTCGTCAAAGTGCCCCCGCGGCCCAGCAGGAAGATCAGGACCAGCTGAGCCTGTCCGAAGCCCCTGCAGAGAGAGAAAGAATCTTCTTTGAGGACCAACCCACATATATCCAGGCTGCGCTCGCCTGGGTTTCATCACAGATCAGTCCAAGCCCTAGGATGGTCAAGGCCTACCTGGGGAAAGTGGCGCCATCCAGCAGATGTGGTGGAGTTCGTGTGTGTGACTCATGCTTGTTCCCCGCAAACAAGAACCTCATGGAATTCAGCTAGAAGAATACGAAAGGGGATTACAAAATACTGCCCCCCAAAAAAAAAAACTAAAACCCAATCAAAATCAAAATAGGGAGAGAACAATGTACAATAATTTAAATAGTATGGTGCTAGAACCATATTTTATTAAAAAACATGAACAGAAAAAGTAGAAAGTCCAGAAATAGACCTGGATAAATATACAATCTGATACATGATAAACACCACCCAAGCATTTCTTTTTTTTTTTTTTTTTGACGACGGAGTCTCGCGCTTGTCCACCCAGGTTGGAGTGCAGTGGCGCGAATCCATCGGCTCAACGCAAAGCTCCGCCTCCTAGGTCAACCGCCCAATTCATCCTGCCACTCAGCCCTCTGAAGTAGCTGGGACTACAGGCCGCCCGCCGCACGCACCCGGCAGTTTTTTTTTTGTGTATTTTTAGTAGAGACGGGGGGTTTCACCATGTTAGCGATCGGGTCCTCACGATCCTCCTGACCTCCGTGGAATCCACCCTGCCTCGGCTTCCACAAAGTGCGTGGGATTACAGGCTTTGAGCCAAGCGCCGGCGATAAACACGCAATTTCCAAAATCAACATAAGCTGCGACTATAATCAGCTTGCTTATCTATTATAGAGAGTGGTTGGCGGCTAATTAATATTGAATAAAAAATTAAAACTAAACACTGCTCCTTACCTATCACTTAATACCAAAACGTTAAAAGTTTAAGTCAGTGAACATAAAAGGAAGCAATAAGCATCTCCAGAAGAAAGGGCGTAGTTGAATAGTTTATAAGCCTTTCTATCACCTCCTGCCAAAAAGTGGCGACTTTTTTGAAAGGAAAGACGATAAATTGGTAAGATTTAAAATGATGACACCTTATGTGAGTTGTAAAACATTCCTTGCATTCAGTCTCCCAAGAGGCCTAACAGAGAACCGTTACTCCAGAATCTCAAAAATATCAAAAGA